TAGTCTTCCATTTAGTTTTTAAGAACTTAAATGTTCTCAATAAATATAGCGTCCAATTAGAACTTCCACCACGTCTCAAATTAGGTTGGATTCTATACTCCATATATACTATCCATCATTTTCTTCAAATTTCTCCACTGAATTTCTGAAAATTAAATAGCTCTTAACTCTCACTCGGAACCAAGAATAATTGAAATTAGATAGTTCTTACATAGCTCTCATTCGGATAGATAGTTCACAGTCGTAAACAGATTACTCCTACTTGAATCATAAGTTTAAACCAATTCTTATGTATTCAAAACTGATTCATTAATACACATAATATCAATTTTAATAATATTTTCCAAAATTTCTCTCTTATTAAGAAAAAAATGTCAAATGTCACATCTTGTGACCCAATATCCATCCAAAATCTCACATAAGTACGTTTTTGGACTGTTATGTGTATCTCAAAGATTTATCTTGTTCTTAATAGACTCATGTTTCCAAACTTATTATCAAAAACTTACATAATCGATTATGAGTATAAGAGAACCCATAATTGGTTATCTACGTGTCCAAAGTTTATAAATTCTAAAGATACTAACATTGAGAAAACTCCATTAAGTAACACATTGCAGTTAACCAACAATCTTCCCAAAATAAAATACAAAAATTGGACATCATTGTCTTAAGTCTCATCACATTCAATAATATTCTATTCATTATTCCCAATAAACCATATAAATATTGATGGTCAATAAATAATCAATCCAATAAGAATTTCTCATTCATTACCTAGATCATAGATCTCTCGTGAGGAGATACTCTTTCATTACCTAGATCATAGATTTCTCGTGATAAAGATTTACGTTCTCAAACAGTTTTCAAAGTCTTAATTTCTTCAATATGATTTTCTACTCTCTTTCAATAAAGTTTAAATCAACAAATATCTCCAACTCATGAAAAATCAGATGCACAACTGAAATGTGTGAATCCATCTATAAATGTAATGAAAATATGAAATTCCATCTCTATCTCGCAAGAAATTCGGATGTATTTACTCAATAAACGTTTAGCTCTTACTGTTTTGAAT